GCTCTTGCGAGGTCAGTACGTCAAACTCTCCTTTCACTGGAACCATTGTTCCAAGGTAGTTCCTGACCCCTGAAGTTCGATAAAGTCAAATAATAACAAAAGGATCACCCACATGAACTTAGTTCACTGGTACATCTTCAGGTGTTGTTGGTATTTGCTTAATGACATTGTTGTAAATTTTACTTTGCTGTCGATGTCCGTGGACAACAAAGTGCAGTGTACATCACATAAAGGGGAACACATCATTGATGCACTATATCCAGTAGCTGAATGCATGATACTGTTGTACTGTATTATAATGTTTTACTGTATTTTGTCGTATTTGGTTCATAATTCAAACTTTTGTAGGCAAGCAGAAACGCTGAAATTCAGTGAATTTGAATTCACTAAGACAAAACAATCGGTGCCGTGTGCACGGGAAGTAATGATTCGAGCTAATTGTTTCCCACAGTACTGAACTCACTGCCCATATGTCACGTGACTACCCGTTTTTATCCTGTTTTATTATCATACCGCTTGTCCACAGGTATACGATTCATGCTGGTCGCTGGAGAATGCAAATGAACTTTTGGCGCTATTCCTGTCTTCTTGTAGCGCTGGACAAAGAAACCGAAATATCTGCACTGTTGTTTGCTGCCATGGTCGATAAAAGGTGTTCCTGTCGAAGCCATATCACCAGTACATAAAGCCAGTCAAGTGTTCTCTTTTGAATACCATTGGATGCATCTACAGGAATTTTGGTGGCCTTGTATTAAAATAACTTACATGGTTTTTTTTGGTACAACCTCCGTCGTTTGGCACTGATGCCGTCTTGCAGAATGTATAACCTACTGTGACGTGTTAAGGTCAAATTCGACCACTGTATTGGTCGGTTGGCATGGGGCGTACGCATGTAACTAACATAACTAAACTTAAAAAGGAGAATTTTTTAGAGTATTACAACTCGGCTGGTTGAAAGAATGAAGCCGTAACTTTTCACAAGCCCTGGATCCAGCTGCCAGAATGCGCAGTACTAGCAGAGCCTCAGTGGCTCGATTACACCTTTACGTTCTGATTTGATCGCACCGTGCGGTTCCTGAAGTGTGAGCGTTGAAATTCAGTGAAAGTCACCTGGAGTCGTAGCACGTCGACACGCCATCAACTAAACTAAACTACAGTAATGACAAACATATGTCTGTGTTAAGCCCACAGACGTACAAGCCCTCGAGTTCTCATGATGAACCCACGAAGCATAGACCCGAAGGCGGTGTCATAGGCTCACCTAGACTGTCCATTATTGGAACATTCTGCAACACGATTTGGTATTCCGATTTGCATAGCTGAACAGGGTAGACTTGATACCCAGTTGCAGCGTGAAATTTGTCAGCATCACTGCCGCATGTCAACTAAGCGGCTGTTCCTAGTGAAATTCGAAGAGTCCAGGTTTCCAGTAAAACTGAGCAATGAGATATTCCTGGTTTGAGTTCCCGACACAGATACTGAAGGATTAAAAAAATAGGTGAACCAGGAAACAACCAGTGATGATGGTGGTCACAAAATTTGTATATCGCGACAAACCGGGAGCACTCTCCTTTGTTATTTTTCGCGGTAAGCAACCAGCAAGCCACAAAAAACATTTCTCAAAAATTCGGAAGACTCATTTTGTCTCTTTTTTCTTATAATTCAACAGATGAATCTATAGGGGAATGAATATTACCAAAAGAGGCTTCTCTCCTAGATGTTTTCGGAGGATGTTCCAACTACTTTTAACGGTTAACAGTAGCATAGTGGTTTAGTGAAATAGTTGCGACACTCATTGGTCCACTTGGCTCCCTCGGTCGGCCGTAACCTTTTTTTCACGCCCTCGGCATTATTGAGAACAAGAAATGAAGAATCATGTAGAAGCAGTCACCGCATTTCCGAAAATCCACCGCGTGACGCAATGCTTGACGCATTCATTGAGGGGCACGAGCTTTAAGCCACTCCATTCTAAACGCCTTATAAAATGTCTGAAAAGCACCCCTACACTTCTATACACAGAAGAGAAGATCTAAAAATAGGACCTCAGAGGGTGGTGTGCTTTCAGATGAACTAACCATATTGGTCAAAGATTTACTTGGGCCTCCCAATAACATCAACACTGTTTGAAAAAAGTGCTTCAGTATTGAACTTCAGATATTGCACTTAAATTGTTTCACAATTGGGAGAGTTGGAGCCATTTTCACCATACGATTGCTTTTCCAATCGGAATTTGCATGAAAAATATACGAGCTCCTAGTTTTTTCCCTTTGTAGAGACCAACTTTAGGGTAGGTCAGTTTTCAATGATCACCTGAAGCGCTGTTAAAATTTGGGAACTTGGAGGAAGCACACAACTTCAGAGACGGGTTAGTTTTAGATGCAAACTATGACCAAAATTACCCGCAAAAGATGCCAGAAAGCCAGCGTTTCCACTTGTATGACCTGCTCTCAAGCACTTCACGAATGTTGCTGGTTCCATGGGTAGAAAAAAACATCTTTTTCTTTTTCATAAAGGATACTACTAACAAGGTTGCTGAAAAATCTTCGACGATCCACCACTGATTTAACCCTTCTTGGGGCTGATCAGGTAAGCGCTGTCGCCTAGTTTTTGTCCACCTTATGTTCCACTTGAACCCAAATTGGACATATTTTGGCAATCACACTCTTTTGCGTATCAATTTGGTTTTCAGGGGAGACTGAACTGAATCTCTCCCTTATCATGTTCATTTGAGTCTCTTGTGAAGACCAAATTGATACGCAACTGATTGTAGTTGTCGAAAAAATTCCGGTATGTTTTTTGTCCAACTTCGCAGTTGAGAAACTGTGCATATGCTTTCCAAATAGTTCGGTGAATTGCTCGCCCACTGATTTTCACAGTCATGTAATTCTTTTTTTATAAACGCGCGCAATTCTAACGGAATATCGCAAGAACAGCCTCGCCCTTGGCCAGATTTTGTTGAAGGATAGTTACAGTTTTACGACAATGTTTCAAGTCTGTTTGGAAAGATTTTGGCATGCCGGCCAAACTGATCAGCAAATCAGTGTAGTTATCGAAATCTTTTTCTCTTATTACGGATTTGTGTATATACTACTTGACTGTGAGTGAAGTATTACGGTTAAAAAAAATTGGCAACACCAAGTGAAGGATGCCGTATGATCTAACCTCACCCAGCATCCGTTGAACTCGGAGGGCGTAGAAAAGTTCTAACTAGGAATTGAAACCAAATTAGATCAGTCATATGGTGGTAATGACACGAAAACCACTGAAATACCAGTCGTTTAGGACTTTCGAAACGAGCAACAGCTGTGGCCGTCTGCACGGAAATTCTGTTTGCTGTTTTTCTAGAGGATGGCAGCTGCCTAAACATCATCATCATCAACGACAGCATGACATCAGTGCTTCACTGCCATACAACCATGACTTATTTGAAAGCCTTATTGTAAAGAAAAGAATAAAGGTGGATGGGGGAGGGACTTAGTGCTAGCTTAACACAATCATTCCGAGGTGCCTACACCTCCAGACATTCACTCAGGCAATCTGGACAGAAACTGACAACAAGAACGCCACTGACATCGGTTGGCAGCCATATCTTGTAGTGTCTCCAACCAGGCACAGTGAGGATCACGCGGTCCCCATCCTGGAAGGCGAGTAGCACCGACAGTGAGTATTGACTGCGTGGGTGTGCATCTGTCGTCCATTTCCCCTTCATCATACTTTGATGAAAATACAAACATCAGAACCATTTGTTTGTCTGTCCGCTTCTGTCTATAACTGTTGTTTACAAGACAACTTACAAACGTATCGTGGCATCCGCATCTACGATGAATAGTAAACGAAACCGGAAAAAAAATTTTCAGCCACAAAGTCAAGCATCTCTTGTAGTCTTCGAATGAGTTATGAAGCCTTTGATAGAAATAACACAACTCATCATTGGGTTCATCCCGCTAGGGTCACAGCAGACTGATATGAGTCTGAAAAATCAATAACCATTTCACTTGCTGAGCACCGGTTGAACATTACTCATTTACAAGCCGGATTTCTGTTGAATGAAGTGCTTAATGAATATTTCAGACCTCAAATAGACATTCTTGCACTACCGATGACACCATGATGCACAGAGTATGGCCCAACACAGTGGGGTAGGCCTTGAGACTTCCAATAATCTCGGGTAGCCTTTTCCAGTGATCATTCGCGGTAACCGAAACTTTGGAGTCCTTATACCCTACTTTCACTACTGCTGCGTTTTTATTAAAAAAGTTCCATCTAAAAAAACGACGTGACGCTCAAGCTATTTTGGAATAATGGAACTTCTTTCATGGATGATCGATGCGTTTCTTCAGCTCTGGTGGGAAGCATAATACCATTAATATGTTAGCAGTCGCATTATTATTAATGTTCTCTGACTGAGGCGAACTACAACCTCTGGATTCTATTATTCTGTCGTGTGAATTAACCCACTTTTACTGCAAACAGCAGTCTGAATTCATGTTGACGCAATCTCTCGAGACAGTTTTTTGTGTAATTCAGAAGTGCTAAAGGAAACAATGTGGGTGGTCGAGTATAATTTCCTCTTACTGGTTTGGGTACGTTCGTACCTGTTTAATTCATGCTGTTAAAATTACCGTTAGACTGATTGCAGTTTCAGTAACAGAGCTCACCTGTCTATCCAACGACAAGGTGAAGCTGAATACCCTGGTAGCCGCCAACCAATCAAATGCTAAGTTCCACCAAAATACCCAGGTATGTGCGCGATTTTGATACGGCTATGGTCCAAGGACCATTTGAATCGTCGCGTCTCGGATTGGTTAGCTATCGAATCTGGACAGTGAGGGATCGGGATCATTGATTTTTTTGGCGCATGAGGTACAGTTGGCTGAAATAATGCTGCTTCTATCTGCTGCACAGCGATTCCGGCAAGAAATTAAAATAAAGCGCCACTGAACTTACATCCTCAGCTAGTGTTCTTGTTTCCAGTCATGCTTCCATCCCCAAACACGCTTATGATTGTATTGTTTATCCTTGGACAGTCCGAAGCACTTGGTACGAACTCTATTTCTGTGCGGGACGAAATCATAAACAAGCTGTTTGTTGACTATAAAAACCATGTGAGGCCCAGTGAACACACGCAGAACGAGACAGTGGTCACTGTGTACCTATCCATCTCGGCCATCACTTCTGTGGACGTCAGGAACATGGAATACACTGTGGATATGTTGCTACGTCAGGCCTGGCGAGACCCACGTCTTGCATGGGAACATATTCCGCATTTCTCAAACTACACCAAGAACATCGTTTCACCCAAATTCAAAACGAAAATATGGCTTCCAGATCTGTTCTTTCGTAACGGTAAGGAGGGCAGGCTACACAAAATGACCTGCGAGAACCTTCTCATTCGTATCCAACCAAACGGGGATGTTTTGTATAGTCAGAAAATCACAATGCGCTTAGCGTGCCAAATGCGGCTGCACACATTCCCGATGGACACGCAACAATGTGATATGGATATCGGAAGTTACGGTTACACTTTGGAACAGCTTCGATTCGTGTGGCGTAACGAGACTCCAGTTTGGCTACCCAGTGACCTGCAAATTTCCGAGTTTGATCCGCCAAAGAAAGTCAGTCCTAATGACTGCTCGAGTCTGTACCAAACAAGCACGGGGCAGTATACATGTCTGAATGTCACTTTCCTTCTGTCTCGTCAGATTGGCTACTGGCTGGCCAGCACTTACATTCCCAACATTCTGATTATGGTCGTATCCTGGCTGAACTTTTGGGTGAGTCTGGAGGCCACACCAGCCAGAGTAAATCTTAGTCTGTTGACACTACTGGGTCTTATTACGCAGTCAACCAGCTACGCAAGTAGTCTACCCCGCGTGTCGTATATAAAAGCGATCGACGTCTGGTCTATTGCATGTATCATGTTCAACTCTGGGGTGCTGCTAGAGTTTGCCGTTGCATCACACCTTTCAAGACGTCGCAAAGTATCTGAGTGGCAAGTGGATGTGCGCAAAATGGTGCGCTCCGAATTGGCACGTTGGTGTACGGCATGTCAGCAACAATACAATCAACGAGGACCATCAGCTGCTATGGCTTATCTGACAGCTAGTCAGGAGGCAGCAAAAGGTCCACAGTTCATCGATTCTGCAGCAACTGCCGCATATGTGATTCAAAATGACTCATTATCGAATTCGCCTTCTCATATGTCGGTGAGGATGACCAAATCTGGTCTGATGTCGTCAAAGAAGTCACCATGCAAATCGTTGGTATCAGAAATTATTGAACCAGCACTTGGGGGTATAGGCTTTGAAGCTCTTCAGACGGAAGCTCTGTTGACACGCGTGGAGCCCAAACCTCCACCCAAACCGCCAGCTGTCAATGAAATCGATAATTACAGTCGATTCATATTCCCCACCTGTTTCCTCATTTACAACCTTTCGTATTGGATGTACTACTTGGTTATAATGAAGCATAGGTAGACCGAATTTATCCGCAGTCACCCACGGCAGATGTTACCGTTTCTAAAAGAATCAGCATTCGAAGGAATTCATGTGATGGTGATAAGGAGCAATGGCATGAAAGCTGTACCTTCATTTGAACGCTTTTCAGAGGAACCTCTGCTAATCGGAATTCAATTTTGTTTCAGTTCACCAACTTTGCATTCGACTTTGCAAGTTTCTGCACCTAACAACAATCGCAAATTCATTGAAATACGATCCATAGTTGTTCTTGTAGTAGCCGTGCTACGATTTCACTATCGGAAATACCGTATCTGATTTCAGTTAATCGACTTTCGAACCTTCGTACATTAGTCGTTCCTAGAGACGAGTACAACTTGGGATATGATGACTTCTGAATGTTCCAGAGATGACGCTGGTTACATATGGTATTGCGGATCACGTGTCCTGCAACGCAGTCAACGAAGGACTTCAGACATATTGTCTCATCTTCATTAGTACTTTGCTCAAATTGCAATGCGTCTATTCCAGTTCGAAAATTCATTAATCCCCCCCAATATGTCAAGAGGCCAACTACATAAAGCTCGAACATTCACAAGGACTCTCGTCAGGCGCACATACATGCCATTCATGCGGAAGATTTCAACGGCTCGCAGGCCCCGAGGCTGTAGAACAAATCGATTTTTTGATACTCCTCTACCATGACAACCCCCGTTTTGTTCCTCTATTCATTCACTCACAAAAATACATGGGATTTTTCAGTCTCAGTGAAAAGTGTCTTGCGACTTCTTAAGGGAAAGCAGGCATAAACATGAGCGTGAAGAGTTGTAAGCAATAAGAAAGCAGGAAAATAGTTTGATACAACACACGCTCTAATGATCCTTTCTGCAATAAAACTCTGTCAGCTAAGACCGTACGGCTTTGTACGTCGCTCGTAAGGAAAACCTTTCTCTTGTCTTAAAAGGATAAGCAACTTTAAGTGGAAAACATCGCATTCAGTGCACTCTGCAAAACATACTGCGAGCTCAGCATTCAAGAAGATAATACGATACCAGCCGAACTTCGAATAGCGCTAGCCAAATCTAGGCTGGTTGTGAGTGTGCTGGAATTCAGTTCAATTAGAGTTATCCATCACTCATCCCACGGACTCGATCGTCAACGGTACGAACCAGGCTGTAGGAGCTTCGATATCGAAAATGTGTCATGAACCCATGCTCGAGAGCCAGGAGGAAAAACGTTAGGCAACAGTGGAGTCTTGGTAGCGCATCATACCACGATCGACAAACTCAGTGAGGGGAAGAAAAAGAAGATAGTGGGTTGAAAGCCATGAAATGGATCTGTAACGCTGCAACAACAGTAATGAAAAACCGGGTCGTATATTGGCTGTTTTGGGGACTAGTTGGAGCTAGTTGGGTGAGCAACATGGAGTTCAAAGGTGTGGAACAACCGTATTACTTCCGCAACATTTCATCAACCGACGGGGCACATGAATAAAAGCAGCAGTATTTGGAACAATTATTGTGGACAAGCGAACTTTCGTTTTGTCGTGAAGTTTTATGCAGTACCGCACAGGACAGAAAATTAAGAGGAATCCTATGATATCCACAGCACACATCTAAGTATCTTCAGAAGTCGTCAAAATCACTATCCTGGTAATGGGATTCCTAGATTTACAAAACAACTCCGAGTCCCAACATGAAACATGCTCTTCCAAAGGGGCGTTCTAAAATACCTAGGGTGCCGTGAGAGTTATCTAGGCCACATGAAAATGAACATAGGATGACTTTACCTTTCAACTTTCACGCGGCATCTGCTATTCAGGGTGGACAATACACAGTCGTTTGCTTCATACATTATCTTAGTATAAAGATGTAGACTTCAGAAAGTGGAAACCCATGCTGATAAACCTCAGCAAAAACGCCATAGAGCGGCAGAAATATACAGAAATGATATATTCTTCGGGATGGATGTTAGCTCGGCTTTTGGATAGTTGATTGCCGTATGAGTTGGGGAAAACAGAGTGTGTCATAAAGTTCGAAAAACGGGATCTTTTCGGAAAGAAGATGACCTCAGTCTTGGTAGTAGTTGTAAGGGGTGATTGGGTGAACAGCACAGGGTAGGGTGAATATACAGTATATTAAGGTGGATCTGAACAGTGTCGAAGTATTGGTGTACCCAAAAAGGCAAACCGACGTCGAATCGTGAGGGGTTTGACCAGTGCGGACAAAGATAAGTTGTCAGTAATCAGTGCCAACAAGGGTGAACAAAGAGGGGCGGATTTGATACACAGAGTGGCTCGGAATGGTTGAAACTGCTGAATTCGACTGCCCCTGTTTGAGGGCGGCGTTAAGGTTGACATTCAGAGAAGCAATGTTTGGTGCCATGTCGTTGTAGATTCACAACACAATGGAGTTCTGGGGGCAAGAGGATGAATAGGAGTGCAGAGTGACGTCGTTTGCAAAGACATACGCAGAAGACATGACGGACGACAAGAAATCAAAATAATGTGGGGAGAGTATAGGCCCTCAAAGAACTCAATCAGTGAGGCTGAGAGACGGCACTACCTGTTCGTAACTATATAGAGCTGTTATGCAATGCAAATGACAAATTTCGAGTTTGGCCCACACAGGAGCTCGGTAGAAATTTCCGAAAACCAAAACCGGCTAACCGCCTTTGGCGTATCTAGGGATACTGAATTCTTCTCATCAGAAGAGTCCAAAGGGGACTAAACGGTGACATACAGGAGCGGTAGTGCACGGACCCACACTGGTCATTCAAGGTGGTTTCGATAAAATTTACTTTGAGAACATTGGACAAAATGGGGATGTTCTGTGTGGGACGGTAGTTGGGAGCTGGTGCCACTTTGGGGAACTAAAATTACGGAGGATTTTTCCCAGCCTAAAAGAAATGCAGCAGTGGAAAAAAAGACGGAGCACTGGAATGAGTAGGGCGATTTTGGCAGTAGATTGGTGGAAAGATTTCTTTGAACCAGGTGGTTTGAAAGTGCTGAGTTCCGAAATAAAACGGTGAACACCGTCAAGTTGATAGTCGAGTGGTTGTTCCTCTCATTCAGATAGTATGCAGCCAATTAGCCCCAACGTATTTCGCAGGATCGATGTGGCCAGGTCATACTTATTCAGTTGACGGAATTATTCTTGTGTGAAACCTTTCCATCATTCTGAGTCATGGAAAATGGCTAGTTATCCTTTTCATAAAGGAAGCAACTCACAAGGTTGCTGAAAACTCTTCGACAGCCTACGACCGGTTTCGCCCTTTTTCAATTGTAGAATATCATAAACGGGAGATCCAGGTGAGTATCGTGAAAACCAAATTGATTTGCACATAAGTGTATCTCTCGAAAACAGTTCAATAATGGTTCAATTAGAACATAATTTTGACGGAAACTCGGGGACTGCGCCTACATGATGAGCCCCAAGCGGAAGGGCGAAACCGGTCGTGGGCTGTCAAAGAGTTTTCAGCAACCTTCTGAGTAGTTTCCTTTATGAAAACAATTTTAGTGTTTATAAATGTTCTCCACTTTATTCTTCGTCGTCTACGGGGAAGCCAATTGTGGTGCTCAGTCCCTCGTGAAAAGCAAATTGATTTGGCTAGTTATCCCTTGTGACATTACGCCACTCATCAATCCTCTTAAAATACTCAGAATCATTACTTAGAGAAAATTTATTCTAAATCTGAATCTCACCCTGCAAACGAAGTTAACCAGCGCTGAAAAGCCCTGAAGCACTGGACATACGTTTCATCGCGACAGGTTATTCTTGGGAGTGCTCAGCTCATGAATTTCTGGGACTATTGTGCCTTTGCTTCTCAACGTGGCTGAAACAGTATGACTCTTCGGTGTAGTTTTAGTCACGGGGTGGAATGATTGTTAGAAGTGAACGAAAACCCACCAAACTAGAAAATATACCGAGACAGCTCAGGTTACAGGAAGACATGTCACATCGCACTGCTCATGCAAACGGATGACAACCTATAGTTGCAACATTTTTGGTCCGATATATCCTTACGAAGACGGGGCAAACAGCAACGTCATTGTTCCTCGTTCACTACTAGCAGTATACAGATAATGGATACACACAGCAGCGTTGGAACAGCTCTTGCTGGATTGTCTTTTCTGAGAAAATGTTCAATATCGGCATATGCCCCAAAGGAGCAACCTAGTACCTTCATCTTCTGAGTGGCTTTTCTAGAGAGACAACCGTGACAACCACAGTGGAAATGTCGAGGCCAACGAATAATTTATTGGCAGCCCAGATAACTCAGTGGTCAGGGTGTGAACCTACTGAGGGAAGGTCCGTGGTTCGAACCAAACCTCAGGCATCTAAACAGATTCTGTATGGGTCCAAGCAAGGTGGTAATATCTTAGCACTCGTGCTTCCTTCGGGTGGCACGGGAGCCAGACAACAACAGCTCGAACGATTATGTTTATGGGAATATACCTTGAAGGGATAAGCCAATGAATCAATCAACGGTAGGTGGTAGTTCGTTTGAGTGAGTGTGGGTACCTTACGCAGTTCGACAATCGAACTCCTGGGGCTGTGATGTTTATGATGTGAGTATGCATTGAAGAATGATGTAGCGAGAAATCGCTAAGTTCTATTTGTTTAAAATTGGCACCAGCCTCTAGTAGTTAGATTTTCATTCCTATGCACACGAATTTCGCGCGTAAATAAAAACCTTACGTAAGTTCACTAGCACTTAGAAAGCGCATTAAAGTGAGCGCGTCCCTGGGTGCAAGATATTATGAGGATAAATATGCCTTTAGCTCTTCTTTGAAGGGGGAATCCTGCATCACCATATCGTGGCTGACGCTCTCGTGAAGATTGATGTACTTACAGCAAATTGATTAAAAAAACTGAATCGCATCATAGACAGAAAATTTTTTTAAAAAATCGTTCAGCTGTAACACCCTTCCGGTGCCTAGCATCCACGCAACCCGAAGGAAGCATGAAGGCTGAGATACCGTCAGGTTGCCCAAGCCTAGACAGGGGATGTCGAGAGGCAGAGGTCGGGTTCGAACCACGGACTTTCCGGCCAGTAAGTTCACGCTATAACCACTTGAGCCATCTCGCCCCCGCATATACATAGGGACATATGCGTCATTCCCTTAGTGTCCTTTTTATGTTGCACCGCGTTGTGGCTGGGAAACGCGAATGGAACAAGCAATATATGAATATCGCTTTGTCAACACAGCGCCCAAACTGAACTATCACATAACTGGGAGCATGTCCTAGCTTCCGACCAGATCCAATACATGGAGCAAATCTGACGGGATACATACCGAAACAAAGTTAGGTACAGCAGTAAATATTTATTGTTACCGAGGTTGCACGGACACGTGACCATGGTAACAATGCCCTATCCGATCAGTGAATGAAAATCATGTCTCCCATGTATCGATTAAACCAAAGGTGTATCTGCTGATACGCCTGAACTGCACACAAACCCTTCCCCACATGACAACGTACCACAAACAATGCAGGGTTTAGACTGGAGCATAAAATTCGACGTAGCAGATAGTCACGTGAATAGTGTTAGTGCCATCTTGAGGCTGACATGACATATTCTATCCAGAAACCATCGCCTTTCTTTAGAAAAAAATAAGTACTGAGAGAAGAAAGAACAGTCTTTGTTCATGATTAATATCACATGCCCTTGAGTAGAAATCTTAAGATACGAGGTCCAGTAAATTTTGTACACGGAGAAGTAACAAGTCCAGACTGTTAAACGATAATTGAGAGACGCCTCCATTAGCCAAGAAATGGTCAAGATGATGGCTCTTCTCCAAAGGTGTCCAGGAATTTTCTCATTAGAGGTTCATAACCAGCTGTACCGAAAGCAAAAATAGACGCAGTATGTGAGGCGTCAATGAGAATGCACGAAGTTTCAAAAGTTAGAGACCAAGGGGCTTCTATCTGCTGAGGTTAATGCCAGCCAATGATGAAAACACTTCTTAAGTAGGAGATTGGATGCCTTACAATCTTGATGATAAGTGGTTTAGACAGGAAGTTCACGTGAACAACTATAAGGATAGGCTAACTGGAGTGATTGCTGGAGTATTGCGAAAGTTCCTGGAAAGCGTTTGGGTTAGGGGCACAAAAGCTAGACAGACTAGCCGCGTTCAATGGGTCAAACCAAGTCAGCTAGTCCACTTCAGAAAACGTCGACACCTATTTTGGGTTGGAAAAATTTTCACAGAAAGACAAATCATGGCGAAGCAATGGAACTGTGTGGAAACCCCGATTGTCTAAGCAAAAACCGAGTTCCGGAAAACAATGTGAGCCTCAACCAATGGATCAACAGTTCGCTAAGCTATTCAATGAGCTACACTCGTTACATATGCAAACTGTTCGTTTGCGTTTCATGGCGGATGGAGTATTCCAACGGTGATCCCACATCATATCGAGGTTGGCGCTCTCGCGACACCTCGTGGAGAAGTTGATTGATAAACAGAATAGCAGCATAGTTATTTTGGGGAAGAACACGCGTCCCGACTGAAGCTGCCTTACAATTTTGTTCTGATTTCCCAGTATTTGTTTTCGTAAAACAAATCGTTGACAATTGGCTGTTACAAACAACAATTAATCTCTGATCTAATTAATCTTTAACTTTCATATTAGGTTGCCTGTAGAAGACTCAACTGAACCCCATCTTCATCTCTTAGTTAAGATATCTTATAACGGACTGCGTTGCCCAAGGGTGTTCTTCAATTGAATGTGCTGCATAAAGGCTGCCTTATGTTTCAGTTGGTACGATATATATCGCAGTGATTCCAGTTAAGGAAACTACTCTTCGACAGCGCACGATTTGTTTCGGTTCCTGTTCTAGTTGGTATGAAGAGTTTTCAGCAACAGTTTAAGTTTAGTCTGGTTCACCTAGCTAAGCAATGGTTTCGCATCTGAAACTAGAAAGATAGTGCTACTTAGAGATAAATGTTGAAGTTGAGCTCACGTATCGCCAGATGTTTCATGAGAAGAGCAAAGATTTAGGAGCAACCATGTGGCTACACACCAGTAGTCAGATTCCCGATTAATGCGGTACATGGTGTAAAATAAAAAGAATATGGAGTTGGGCATTTCTTCCCTACACAACCCCCTTTTTCTCATCCACTGCGTGCTATCTGCCAATCAAGGCATGTTTATATGTCAGTTACTGTATCGAGTCCACGATGCATCAAGTGCTAGTGAAGATAAAACAAGCGGCTTTTGGCTTGCCCATAGTATGTCAGTCACCTAAAGAAATGATTGAAACATGCGCTGCTCCAACTAGACTGACCTATAACGGTGTGAGACACTAAAGTGACTACGTTTGGAGGTGTTTTTGTGAAAGCGCATGAGATTTTATGGGTTTCTGTTACTAGTCGATGCCCACTTTTGGCACGGTCGCTTCTTGAGGGTTAGTATAGTTTTCGATGGATTGACCGTGAACAGAAGAGGTACAAGCAGAATTTATGTAGACCAGCAAGTAACTGTGAGACAAAAACTGTAACTTCTGTTTCAGATTGGAGAGGCTAAGAAAAAGCTGCATTCTGTTGATATTCGGGCAGAAAATCGGTCGAAAAACATTGAAGAGTTTATCAGAAAACATTTTGTCCAAGTTCCATCACTCTGGTATCCCGATGATGGACCGAACGTGTTATTTTCCGGGGAGAGTTCGCCTCCTCGTAATAGCTTCTCCTTGAGCAATTACAGCATATTATACTAAACCGAGGTAGTAGAAAGCAAAAATTTGTACCAAATATCTTCCCCAATCTGTTATCTCTGAAGGTGCCTCAAATTGGCGAGTGTCTCAAAATTGGAGCAGATTAAGGCCCGTGGAAACATAAGGTTGGTGTGCCAGATTGCTACACTAAGGTTCAGAGCGATGATAGGATGTTCCTTTCCAGGACATCAATAACACTCGGCATGCAGTGGAAATCTGCCAGCTCCAATTTCGATGTAGCATCCATTTGAAGTTATGTTGTTCGCTGTAAGGTCGCCGCAAAACAACTCTAATTTGGCAGCTGATAGACCGAGGGAGTGTTTGTTACAGATGTCAAAACTAGTGCACGCAAAAACTAGTATTGCAATCAAAATAATACAAAAAGCAAGTCGTGTTATACCGAATGTACGACCTCAGCTTCCAAGACAGTTACCTTCCTTCAGAAACGAGCCATTACGATCGAACAGTTGAAAGAAGCGGAAGACATTGTAAAACGTCATCCGGTCCTCTGACTGAGCGGCCAACTCTAGAAACCTTTGACACAAGCCATCTTGCTGTGATTGATGCAACAGATGTGGGCGCATCTGACAAAATCTGATTAGGGATAAGAGGAAAAGTTCAACCAGTCGAAACAATACATAAAAAAAACAGACCCAATGGATCGTAACACTGAGAACGAAACTTGTATTGGTAACGTAAATCACCTAAGCATGGTTTTGTATTTCACAACACAATACAAGGAATTACAAGGAACTGTTGTGTACTCATCATTTGGAAAATGTCATGTTTTCCCTGTCTCTGGAACAGTGCTGATCGATAGCACGGGACGATCACACTTTTACACCGCATTTCACAAGAGAATGGGTTAGTTCATCTCTGAGTATGTGTATTACAGCAAGGTATGTCACATCCACCAACCCGCGCTGCACTGTAGGCGATCCGACCGGTCGAAGCACTCATCCGCTTGGGATTTATAACTATGGTGGAGTACTAATGGTTAGACACCGGAGTCTGTATGCCTAGAGAAGCTTCAAGTGGTGGGCCCCAAGTAGCATAAGGAGTCAGACGATAAGCTTCTGATGGGAAGCGCTCTGATTTGGATTCCACAACAGGGTGGCACGACTGAACTGTCCTATATCTGATGGAGGTGAATGAGAACAGTGGTAAAGCGACTTTCAGAGAAGGATACTGTTTGTCCAAAACACTTGTGATACTGATTGCGGGAGGCGAGAACAGGATCCTCGAAAAACCCGACTGAAAAACTAGATACTTCTCACAAAAAGATCCTACTGTCTGAGAGAATACCCGCAGCGAATCGTTTTGTTAGACTTTTGCCAGATTTTTAAATACATTCAATACGAAACACAATCTCGAACGTAGAAGTGTCAACTTCCACCAATCACTTCGTGCTGGTTTGAAGAAAAGCCCTGAAACCAGATTGGGAAACAGGCACTACAAGACGTTTTTCTGTAACAAATTACACTGGCTTTGTTTAGTGACAACCGAGCGTCCTGGTGAGAGGACGAAGAATATGACAGATCAACTTGGGAGCCCGTTAGAAGGACCCGGGCGCTGCCCCGTAGGGGCCAATGAAAGGCGAAGATTCATCTTTGCCAATAATCCTCGAATAGTGGTTTCACAGGAAGCTTACACAACTGAGAGAAATCAGTTGTCGCAAGAGCACTTTGCACATGGCCCTAGCAACCAGGTGAGACTCAAATGCACCATGAATGAGGTGCCTAACCTAATAAACTGCCACTAAATTGTGGAACAACGCAATCCCATCGGTAATCCGAATGCGGATAAAAGGGGCAAATTGAAAGATGCACGCAGTTCGCATACGCCCGTCAGCACTGAAGACAAGTTTATGGTTTCCTTACAATATAGACAACGCAGTCGAGTGGCAATAAACTGGCCAATAAGTGCCGAGACAGAAAGTAACGGCGGTCATGTTAGGCGCGGAACGAAGTGAGGGTTGTGTCGAGTTTTCTTCAGATGCACAGGAAAGGCTTTCAACTCAACACCCTGCTTGGCTCCCTATCTTCTCCATCAACTCCTCATTTTCTGTGGTACGTGAACAAAAAACGCGAGCTGCCATTACAAAACATTACCTTACATTATATGATGATGTGAAATTTGACAAAAATCCCACAAAGATACGTCGTCCCTCTGGACAATACACAACCGGTACGATTCAACGTGTGATCTCTTTGAAAGAAACCATTCTTTGACGGTTTCACTGCTGTATTTGGGAATATCGTCTCCCATACCAACTACACATTAGCCAATACTATTTATTTAGGGGTATGGGTACAGAACATCGATATTCGACATGATACTGACAACAGCTCCCACTACTTCGTACGGACTGACACTATTTTTGACGATTCTAACGTAAAGATTCGGAGTTTTAGACGTTTGAAAGCAGAAGAACACAGTCCAAACCCCTCCGAAAATCAGCATGGAATGGACACATAGTGTTGCTTTCTATTCTTCAGGCTCTTCTTCACATTTATTCGTAAGACGACGCAGAATAAGTGATGCGAAGAGTCTGGTTATAAAGGAGGCAGGCTAATCGCTCTGTGGTTGTCACGCTCATTGTGGGCACCCTTTTTGAAAATTGTCACTACTCTCGACTCACTCCAGTTGCTTAGGACCCTAGGATGATTACTTTAGCCCAGACAAAGGCAAACAAATTATACAAGCACCTACTGTGGATTCCACTTCCACTCTCTAACGAGGTGGAGTTTCTTCGGCACCACTAGCTTCGTGGTGCTCGAGCGACAAGCCACTCGCTTATTCCCGAAGCTTTGGGGGTTCCAGGGCTGCGTGGCGGGTCGAGAATCACTCCGAGCGAATTCGAGTAGCTAGTTGAATTAGTTTTGAAAGTGTCCAATCCAGTAACCCAGCTAAGTGAGCTGTTGATATTAATGGTTGTTTCGATCGTGGGAGACTTCTTTGGGCTTGTTACGAGTGTCAACTGGTGTAGTTTACACATATTTCCGGAGTCTCTCTACCTTCCTCCATCTCAGCAGCTTTGTAGACATATCAAGCTTAGTGTGGCGACTATCAAAGGGCAACCACGTAAGCAGAGGCTTTTCAGTTCAGTGGCTTAGAACCCCAGTAGAAACAGCAACAACGACTTCCGGATCATCAGAGGTGCACAATCTGTCACAGTGGTAAGGTCCAGTTTCTTTGTGACTGGATCCCAAGAAGGGAGCGAAGCGGTGTGAGGTGCACTGCCTTTTAGGAGAAGTTAAGTCACACAGGTTGAAAAGTTGTCATTCAATTCAGATGATTACGAATTTACCTGCTCACGCAAGGATGGTGAAAGTAATATCATTATAGCCACGGACTCAGTGCACACCATTACATTCTATGATTCAGCCACATGCACCAGACACCATACATCCAACGAAATCAATATTGTAGGACGCTCGTACGTGCAAGGAAGTTGGTGAAATTATGACCAAAATTGGCTGGTTTGATGAAACACAAAACTTCATGTATATGTTGCGCAATCAAGAACCCGATCTGAATCGTAATTACCTAAAATCGCTTCGGAAAGAGCTGCTTTTAAAAAACTACGGTGCAGTGTAAACACAACCTTAGGGAGAGAAGACATGAACAAGTGGCCTATGTTGGTGTACATAGAATGTGGATTTTGAATTAAGATTTACTATTTCAGTACGCCCTATGATGAGCGTGTGTGCAAAACGGTGGGNAGTGGCCTATTTGGTGTACATAGAATGTGGATTTTGAATTAAGATTTACTATTTCAGTACGCCCTATGATGAGCGTGTGTGCAAAACGGTGGGGAGATTGTACCGGAACCAAGGAAAAACCGGACAAATTCGAAATAACGTACGGCAAACAGCAGCTGGTCCTACAGGTAAAACATGTTTCCAACCCAAGGGTCGGATGCAAGTATCGTCAAATACATTCGACAAAGCGATGGAACACAGGGGCCGTCGATTGTTTCCTGTTGCTTGTTTTCCTTGGCAACGATAGTAAGTTTTGTTTCCGACAAATAAACAGAACAAGTGCACAGTAAATATTCCTTCTAACTGTACAGAGAAACGCAGCAAAAGCAAAGCCTATGTATTATAAGGGAGAAATTTCGACAAAAGAGTAAATTTGACCCGCCTCTGGGAGGCGCCCTTTTGTCCTTTAATAATACATTGGCATTGAGGACCAGGAATGATAACTAAAAGGACAAACATACCGGAGAGCTTCGATCAATCTGTTTTTGAGCAGGAGTACCTCCACAACCTCTTCGTTGGAAAAGCTCAGTCGCTGCAACAAGAGGGGTAAGGGAGAAAGATGAAGGGTGAGAATTAAAGAAAAAGTGAGGGAACTGATACGAAAGGTGTCTGACATCATTGCTTGAAACCAGCTCACGACTATCACAGTTCTTAGTGGCTACGGCTCACAGACAGACTCAGTGAAATTGAGGATATGGTTCATATTGAGGTCAACAACTAGAAACCCGTGCTTGCACAACACACAGGTTATTCTGGGGAGATTACCTCAGGTGAGAGAACACTTCTGGTCGGTCGCTTCAGGTAACCTTTACAGAGTAAGGCAACTGTAATGAAACGGTAACCCCGTCAGCTTCACCACTACAGAAAACGAAGGAAATCACGCATAAAAACGCCAAATGAATCGCTCAGTCCTAGCTCTGATGAGATGCTGAAATGGGTATGCCAACCGAAACCCTGAGTCGACTCACTAAACTATCAGATCTTGATGGGCTGATATTACTAGTGATGGTGACATCCGTCGGATGTGAACACTCGATATGGGCGCCCTTTTAGCTAAACTTCGCGGCCATCTTAGTGGAACAGGAGTATTGGAAACACAGAAAAACCCTGAGCACAGAGGTCTAAAAACCCCTGATCAGGAATCGAACGAACATGTCTGTGGTCACGGCCCTTGGCGTCATTCAGCTTGATTAACTTACTCAACATTGTCTATTCTGATAGTTCGGATACGTAGCTGTGCGTTTCACATCTGCAAAGTGCTTCTACAAGACTGGGAGGGATCAAACGCAAAACTCGTGATTGAAGACCAGTCAATCGACGCTGTAGACTAATTTATTTACCTGGGGAGATCACCATCATCATCATCATCATTCACATCTGCTGCTTCTACAAGACTGGGAGGGATCAAACGCAAAACTCGTGATTGAAGACCAGTCAATCGACGCTGTAGACTAATTTATTTATTTACGGAGATCACCATCATCATCATCATCATCAAAGGCAGCAACATCAGTGTTGGCAATGATGCTTCACTGCCGTACAACCATAAGGTTC